ATCTCACTAACAGACAGACGTTTGAGGTGAGCTTCACCCCCCCGCTCACGATGGAGGACTGCAGCTTTGGGTGCCAGCTGCTGCGCTGCTCACTTCAAGCTCCCTGCATAACCTGTGGGGAGAAATACGCAATTTTAGGATGTGATTCACTGACCTATTTTAGGTCCTGTGAGGCTGGACAGGGCAAGGGCAGATCTCACACTGCTGGACTCAGGGCTGCTTTTAAGAGTGGTGCTGCCATACCCAGGAGATATTTCAAGGCTTGATTTGGCTGCTCATGTAGACATAGCTGATGCCACCTGAAAACTGAGGTTCTAAAGCTTCTGAGATGTCCATATGTGCAAGCGGATGTTACAGAGACCCTGTGGGAGACACATGTCCTTCTGGAGCGGCAGCCAGGCAGGATATTCTGGTGAACCTCCAATAGTTCTGAGTATCTTACTCTCTCCATATTGCTTGACCTTGATGGGACAAACTCTGATATGGGCGGCTGATAAAAACAAACAGAGGAGTGCCTGGAGGACAGTGAGGAGTGCTGTGTGCCAGGGAAGTTTTCTATCTAGGGTGGAAATGATCTGCACCATAGTGAGCACTTACAGCTACTCAGCTTTGAAGCTAATCAACTGGAAGAAATAAAGATGGACAAAACAGTGGCCTCTGTGCCTTCGATAAAGCCCTTGCCCTGCCTTTCTGGGCTAAATGTGCTACACTGTTGATGATGAGCTTTAGATGTGGCCTGTGGGCACAGGAGGAAAGGGGTGCTGTGGGGTGAGAGAGGACCTGCAGGGAAGGGAGTTTCTGAAGGGTGTCCTCTGCCACTCCTCTGGAAAGGGACAAGCCCAAAGAGCTGATGCTCTGAGGAAATGAAATCAAGTACTCTGAGAATCTGGAAAGGCCTTTTTTTTAAATTTTCTTTGGGATTTTTTTGAAGTTTGCAAAGAAGTGGTTGCCTGTGAGGAACTCCATGGGACGAGAGACACAGGGCTGAGGATGGGGCAGTAGAGCAGAGGCCGTGGCACAGGGAGATCTGCAGGGATACACCTCTCACTGGTTTTCTTTGCTCTGCACGCCAAGAAAAACCCAGCACTGGGGCCTGAGGCGTCTGAGCTATTTGCATTAAAATGATCTGACAGTTCCTCTTAAAATGAGATGGTATGAACTAGTCTGTGGTTTCCAGCCCAGGTATTTGAATCATTTCCTTGATCCTGGCAGCTGAAATACTGGGCCATTGGTCTCCAAACATTTACAATTTTGCAGATGCTGTCCTTGGTCTAAAGTTTTATTCTTATCCCAAGTCAGTCCCAGGAACAATTTTTTCTCTTCCGACAAACACAGATTTGCATGTGGCTGATCTCCTGCATGAGTTTCAAATGCAGAAGAGAGAGGGATAATTTGATTAGAAAGTAACATATTTTTACTCCTTGTATGGCAGCCTATGTGGTGAGAATGCACAGTGAGTAATAAATATAAAAATTAAACAAATACTTTGTCATTATGCCTGTGTGAGTTTTTGACCATTAATTATTTAAGATTGATAGATACAGAGAAAACAGAGTGATAGGTAGGTAGATAGATAGATAGCAAGAAGATGAATGGAGATAAAAGATAGATATAGAGAAATATTGTGAGTTCCTTCATTTTACTAAGTTCTTCATTTGTACAGTATATAAAACATTCTAGAGACAGAATACCTCTTTTCCTTTGTTCAGAGATTTCACTGAAGCAATTCTTCCCAATTTGAAAAAAAAAAACCCCCACAAATTAAAATCTCTGGTAATCCCCACTCTGAAACATGATTCTTCCCAACACAAGAAAGACATGGAGCTGTTGGAGCGAGTCCAGACAAGGGCTACCAAGACGGTCAGTGGGTTGGAACACCTTTCCTACGAGGACAGGCTGAGAGAGTTGGGCTTGTTCAGCCCGGAGAAGAGAAGGCTCTGGGGAGACTTTTTAGAGGCCTTCCAGTACCTGAAGGGGGCCTACAAGAAGGGTGGGGAGGGACTATTTACAAGGGCCTGCAGTGATAGGAGAAGGGGTGATGGTTGGAAGTGGGGAGAGGGCAGGTTTAGACTAGATATAGGGAAGAAGTTCTTTACTGTGGGGGTGGTGAGACATTGTGCCCAGGGAAGTTGTGGCTGCCCCCTCCCTGGCAGTGCTCAAGACCAGGTTGGATGGAGCCTTAAGCAACGTGGCCTAGTGGGAGGTGTCCCTGCCATGGTAGGGGGGTTGGAGCTAGATGATCTTTGAAGTCCCTTCCAACCCAAACCATTCTATGATTCTGTGATTCTATGATTCTATGATATTTTATTTTTAGTGAAGCCAACTCTGTCCAAACCAAAATTATTGTTATTAGTATTATGTAGCCGTTTTCTTACAGGTCTCTGCAGTGCTTGGTGTGAGGAGCTGCCCCTGTTGCAACGTGCCAGCCGGCTCACAGAGAAGGCTTTGGTGACAGCCCTGAGAGCTCAGGCTTTGACATGCATAAAAGGTAATTTGAGGGATCTGAAAAGCCACGAGCTGAATGATTTCACTGAATTTTAGCCACCTTTAGGCATCTTGATTAAGTCAATTTTTAGCATCCTTGTGTTTGCAAGAGGTGGGTGTTTGCTTTGCTCACCCACACCTTGTGTTGCTAGCTCCAGCTGAGATACTTGGACTCTAGAGATCTGCGAGTGGCTCTCAGGCATGACACAGGACACTTGGGAGATCCTTGCCACCTTCAGTGGCATCTGGAGGCTGAGCAGGATGCTTTGCTGCAATTCAAATGGCACCAGATGCTCCTGTCTAGGGTGGACAACTGAATCTTGTCTGGAGAGGCAATTCCTCCTGCCTACTTTAGACAACTCTTTCAGTATGGGCTCGGGGAAGGCTGCCTCTCTCCACGGACTATGTGGCTTAATGCCTACCCCGGAAAAGATGCCTTTTCAGTGGTTCAAGTTAGACAGGATGAGTTTAACTCTACTTTATGTGTTATTCCATGTCTCTTCCTACCAGAGCTAGTTTGAAGTCACAAGTCCTTTAGGTCACACAAATCAAGCCAGAAAACAGCTTCAGAATAACAATATTTAATATGTAATATTTAATATATCAGTGAGGCCAGTGATTGCACAGTTGACAGGACAGAGGGTGTCCCCATTAGCTCACAGACATGACACTAAACATCCCCAGGGCAGGACAGCTTGGAACAAGCAGATGGCAGCAGTACAGTGCATTTACTTGCCTGTGCTGGAGGTGGAGTGTGCCAGTGGATACCTCTCCCTTTCCCAGTGCTGGCACAGCCCAAACTGGCTTTATCATAGAGATGAGAGTCAGGGAGACAAAACTAAAAAATAAGGGCAGGGCTGATATTTAGGGGCTATGACGAGCTCACAGAGCCCCTCTGCTGGTGCATCTCTCTTTGTTTGGCTACATGCTGAATATCTTTATTTCTAGCTGCCGCCTTGACTCTTTTCCTGGTTGAATCAGTTGGCTTTATTTTGATAAAGTCCACTTTATATGGTAGCACTGTCCAGGCTTCACTGCTGACAACGAACAAGAGCTTTTTAAGCCACCTGGCAGCTTTGGATGCACCTAGTCATGATTGCAAACTTCAACAAGTCTTATGCTTTTTTTAACAGAAGTTTTATCATCAAATTTCCTTCTAGGGGTGAAGCTATGCTCCAAGGTAGTGTATAAGTGCTCCTCATCTTAGTACAACTGGCATTTTCTTCCGTATTTTGTATAAAGGGGTTTGTGTGCTGCATTACAGGACAGCACAAACTACCATGTGTGTCTGCAATAACTGTGTTCAAATAACTTGTCCCATGCTACAATGCAGAAATATGAACAACATTTGACTGAGAAAACATAAATGTCTCTGAAAAATAGACTCGAAGTACTTTAATTATATTCAGATTTTTGTAACTGCATCATGCCTTCAGGATGGATAAAGATTAGCTTACATTTTGGCTGACTCAGGGAAGTCAGTGGCATGTCCAAGAATTAACTTTTGAGGAAGTTACTGAAGTGATCTGGTTTCTGAAATTTGCCAGTCACAGGCTTTAGCATCAAGGGCTTGATCTTGAGTGATGATGGGGAATTACACAGTTCCTGGTTGGGTTTGCTGTTGCTGTAACACTAAGACTGATGCAATTTGTTGCCTTTCAGATTATATCTCTTACTTGTTACTAAGCTGCACATAATTACTACCTTTATTGATTTAATGTTTATCTTTACCAGTTAATTGCTTGTCCACGTGGTCTATTCTAGAACAGACCTACAGACCTGTGTGGAAATTAGTGAGACTCCTATGCAGTCTTGTGAGGGCAAAATTGCTGCTGAGGTTCTCGTTCCTTTAGTTAAACCAGACAGTGTTAAACTCTTGCTCCAAACCCTACTGTCTGTGTTGATGCAAATGCCCCTCCAGGGCTACCACGTCTCTCAGATGCTCCTGAAGAACTGATGTAGAAGTGCACTGAGCTTTGTCAGACATGATAGCAAGCTACCAAATGAGCACAAGGGTATTTGGCTGAGGGAGGCTGATGGAGGCTGAAAAGCACGAGTGCCTGGGTAGCAAGTTAATAGGAATAGACAGGTGAGCTCAAGGTGGGATTTGGAGGGAACGGGAGGTTATTTACATCCAGCCAGAGAGCGCTTGCTTCATGCAGCTGATAAATGTACACATTAACAACGGTTCTGTTTCCCATATACACAAGATGGCAAGTGGTGAACTTTGTGTTTTATGCACAAGTATGGCAGTCAGGACCAACCAGATTAGTGTTTTTGCCAATACCTGAGATTTAGCAGGAATATTTAGAGAGACAAAAATCTGGAGTCTCAGATCTAGATGATCTAGTCTTTTTCCATCCTGACTTCTTTATAAAAAAATCATTTTGCCCCACGGAACTCCTGAACATTTAGGGCTTTCTTTGCCATCCCCACATAAATACAGCACAGTGCACTATCGTTATTGTATGTGAATCGGCAGCTCGCAGTTTGCCCTGGCATTCCCTGTAGGTCATTCACATTCCGGAAATATTTGTCTGAAAGGCAATGAATGAGAGATGATTAATTAATATTCCAGAGGGGTATCAGACTTACTGCAAGCAGCTTGTACAATGAAAATAAACAGTGAAAAGGAAGCTGGTAAATGAAACTTGAAAGAGGTTTTCTTCTATTTCATAAAAGGACATTTTTACTACCATTGACCAACTGAAAACACCTCTACTTCTCATCTCTTTCTCTTACAGATGCTGGGAGGTCATTACACTTTATCAAAAAGGCTTCTTGAATAGGTACACAACCATGCAACTGAGTATGTCAATACATCACACCACTCTGCTGTTTCAAAATATCTGAGGACTGGGTTGTCCCTGACTATAATGTGAGGGAGAGAGAGAGAGAGCGTGCAAATGCATCTATACTGCCTCAGCTCCCCAGAGCAGCTCATTCAGGGGCTGTGCAGATCTCTCTGATCGTATACCATTCCCAGATCCTGAAAAACAGAAGTGATAAGAATGTAAAGCACTCTGATACCTTTTACTGCATACCAACCTTTCTTTTCCTCATACATGTGCTACATATGAAGCCAGTAAGTGCATTGATGACTTGAATAAAACAAAGAATAGCTTCAATCACACCAATGGCCAGGAGAATAGAGAAAAGGACAATATTCCAAAGGATGATGTTTTCAGGTTCCTTGCAAATGCTCCATGTTGTCTGGTTGAACAAATAATTGTCTCTGTGACAGAGAAAAATAATTGGCAATGTATTAGAAAACAAAAATTTGAGAATGCTTTCTGTGTTTTCTGGTATTATATTTTCTGAATTTGATTGCACAAAGTCTCAAATCCTACTATAATTGGTAAAAGCTGATGATGCTTTTCAGAACTGCCTTTGCAGAGATGCAATTGATGACTAGGGAAGAGAGCCACATCTGTACTTTGTTGCATGCACAAGAATCTCCCTTTTGTTTTATGGCAGTACTAATAACCAAATGGAGAAGTCCCTAATGGTTTTAAAATGTGTCTC